GGGCACCGGGGATACTGGGGGGCACCGGGGGCACTGGGTCTGCCCCTGCTGCACAAACTGCTGCTGGGCATCAAAGAGGTACTGGGGGCACCGGGGGATTTGGGGTGGGAAGGATTGGGTGGCACTGGGAGCACTGGGGACACTGGGGACAGGAGTGGAGTGGGGCTATGGGGGTGGCACTGGGGGGACTGGACACTGGGGACATTGGGGGGCACTGAAGGGCAGGGGACAGGGGGTGACCGTGGCGTGCCCCCGGGCCGGGCAGGGCTGACGTCCCCGTGTCCCCGTGTGTCCCCAGGCGTCCCCGGCCGTGCCGCAGGCCGTGCGGGCGCTGGTGCTGGTGCCCTCTGCGGAGCTGGCGCGGCAGGTGGGGCACACCCTGCGCCGCCTGGCCGCCTTCTGCGCCCGCCAGCTGCGCGTGGCCGAGCTCTGCGGCCACTCGGACATCGCCGAGCAGCGGTCAGTCACCCCCCGCTGTCCCCGAGCCCCCTGGCCCTTCCCAGTGTCCCCTCCATGTCCCCAAGCCCCCTGACCCTTCCCAGTGTCCCCTCCATGTCCCCAAGCCCCCTTGAGCCCGGGTGTCCCCAGGCCGGGGCTGATGGAGCAGCCGGACAGGATGGTGGGCACACCTGGCACGCGTGGCGGGGCACAGCCTGGCACTGACCTGTCCCCAGTGTCCCCTGGGTGTCCCTGACTCCTCCCTGGGTGTCCCTGACCCCTCCCTGGTGTCCCCTGGGTGTCCCTGACCCCTCCCTGGTGTCCCCTGGGTGTCCCTGACCCCTCCCTGGTGTCCCCTGGGTGTCCCTGACCCCTTCCTGGTGTCCCCTGGGTGTCCCTGACCCCTCCCTGGTGTCCCCTGGGTGTCCCTGACCCCGGGTGTCCCCAGGCCGGTGCTGATGGAGCAGCCGGACATCGTGGTGGGCACGCCTGGCCGTGTCCTGGCACACGTGGCCGGGCACAGCCTGGCACTGCGGCCGTGGCTGGAGCTGCTGGTGCTGGACGAGGCCGATCTGCTGCTGTCCTTCGGCTTCGGGGACGACATCCGCGCCCTGCTCTGGTGGGGACACGGGGGGGACACCAGGGGACACCCAGGGGAAACTGGGGGACGTGGGGGAGACACTCAGGGGGGACAATGGGAGGGGACACAGGGGCCATTCTCATCTCCAGCAGTTCCCTACTCCCAATTTTGGGATTTTCACCCCAAATCCCGTTCCATGGGCAGGTTGTGCCCCCGGGGCAGTTCCCCCGTCCCCATTTTTGGGATTTTAACCCCAAATCCCTTTTCCAGGAGCAGCTGGTGCCCCCCGGCTCCCAGGCCATTCTCATCTCCAGCAGTTCCCTACTCCCAATTTTGGGATTTTCACCCCAAATCCCGTTCCATGTGCAGGTTGTGCCCCCGGGGCAGTTCCCCAGTCCCCATTTTTGGGTTTTTCACCCCAAACCCTGCTCCAGGTGCAGGTGGTGCCCCCCGAGCCGCGGCTGCCGGGCCGTTCCCATCTCCAGCAGTTCCCCAGTCCCCATTTTTGGGATTTTCACCCCAAATCCCTTTTCCAGGTGCAGGTGGTGCCCCCCGAGCCGCGGCTGCCGGGCCGTTCCCAGCTGCAGCAGTTCCAGCTGCGCTGCGGCACCGAGGAGGACAAGTTCCTGCTGCTGGCGGCGCTGCTGAAGCTGCGGCTGCTGCGGGGCCGCGCGCTGCTCTTCGTGGGCAGCCTGGCCCGGGCCTTCCGCGTCAAACTCTTCCTGGAGCAGTTCGGGATCGCCGCCTGCGCCCTCAACCCGCAGCTGCCCGCCCGCTCCCGGTGAGTCCTGGGGTTTGTGGGGTGGGGTCTGTGCGAATTCCTGGGTTTGTGCTCAGCCCGCAGCTGCCTCTGAGATCCTGGTGAGTCTGGGGGGATTTGTGGGGTGGGGTCTGTGGGAATTCCCATTTGTGCCCTCAACCCGCAGCTGCCCGCCCGCTCCCGGTGAGTCCTGGGGTTTGTGGGGCGGGGTCTGTGCGAATTCCTGGTTTTGTGCTCAGCCTGCAGCTGTCTCTGAGATCCTGGTGAGTCCTGGGGTTTGTGGGGTGGGGTCTGTGCGAATTCCCATTTGTGCCCTCAACCCACAGCTGCCTGTGTGATCCTGGTGAGTCCGGGGGGATTTATGGGGTGGGGTCTGTGGGAATTCCTGGTTTTGCCCTCAGCCCGCAGCTGCCTGTGAGATCCTGGTGAGTCCTGGGGGTTTATGAAGGTGGGTTTATGGGAATTCCTGGTTTTGTTCTCAACCTGCAGCTGCCTGTGAGATCCTGGTGAGTCTGGGGGGATTTGTGGGGTGGGGTCTGTGGGAATTCCCATTTGTGCCCTCAACCCGCAGCTGCCCGCCCGCTCCCAGTGAGTCCGGGGGGATTTGTGGGGTGGGGTCTGTGGGAATTCCCATTTGTGCCCTCAACCCGCAGCTGCCCGCCCGCTCCCAGTGAGTCCGGGGGGATTTGTGGGGTGGGGTCTGTGGGAATTCCTGGTTTTGCCCTCAGCCCGCAGCTGCCTGTGAGATCCTGGTGAGTCTGGGGGGATTTATGGGGTGGGTTTATGGGAATTCCCATTTGAGTTCTGAATTCCTGGGTTTTCATCTGATCCCAGTGGAAAGGGGGTGGGATTTATGGGGTGGGGTCTGTGGGAATTCCTGGTTTTGCCCTCAGCCCGCAGCTGCCTGTGAGATCCTGGTGAGTCTGGGGGGATTTATGGGGTGGGTTTATGGGAATTACCATTTGAGTTCTGAATTCCTGGGTTTTCATCTGATCCCAGTGGAAAGGGGGTGGGATTTATGGGGTGGGGTCTGTGGGAATTCCTGTTTGTGCTGTCAATTCCTGTCCCTGTCCCAGGTGCCACTGAGGTGTCCCAGGTGCCACTGAGGTGTCCCTGTCGCTGTCCCTGTGCCACAGGTGCCACGTCATCGCCCAGTTTAACCGGGGTCTCTACGATTACATCGTGGCCACCGACGAGGAGGGGCCGGCGGAGCCCCCCAGACACCGCCCGCGCAAGGGGGGCACGGCCAGGTCAGCCTGGGGACACGGGGACATGGGGACAGCCAGGGGACATGGGGACAGCCACGTCAGCCTCCGGACACGGGGACATGGGGACAGCCAGGGCAGCCTGGGGACATGGGGACACTGAGGACAGCCAGGTCAGCTTGGGGACAATGGGGTGGCACTGGGGACAGCGCAGTGGCGCTGGGGACTGGGACCTGTGTCCCTGACTGTCCCCATGTCCCTCCAGGAAGGGTGACAAGAAGGGGGACAGGAAGGGACAGCCACCCCAGTGTCCCCAGGACCCCGAGTTCGGCGTCTCCCGTGGCATCGATTTCCAGAACGTCGCCGCCGTCATCAACTTCGATGTCCCCAACTCCGTGGAGACCTACATCCACCGCGTGGGCAGGTGTGTCACCAGGGCCACCACGGGGCCACCACAGGGTCACCGGGGCCACCACAGGGTCACCGGGGCCACCACGGGGTCACCAGGGGGTTTGGGGGTCACAACTTCGATGTCCCCAACTCGGTGGTGTCCTACATCCACTGCGTGGGCAGGTGTGTCACCACAGTGTCCCCAGGGTCATCGGGGTCACCACGGTGTCCCCAGGGGTATCAGGGTGTCCCCGGGGTGTCAGGGGGTGTCCCCACGGTGTCCCTGTCCCCAGGACGGCGCGTGGGGACAGCCCTGGCACGGCGCTGACGCTGGCACTGCCCGACGAGCTGGAGGGGCTGCGGCGCATCGAGGACACGCTGGCAGCAGGTGGCACTTGGGGACACCGCGGGGGGGCCTGGGGGGCTCGGGGACACGGAGGTGACACCGAGGTGGCCCTGTGTCCCCAGAGAACGGGCAGTCCATGCTGCAGCCCTACGAGTTCCGCATGGAGGAGATCGAGACGCTGCGGTACCGCTGCAGGGTGAGGGACAGCGGGGACACGGGGGACAGCGGGGACACCGAGGGGACAGCGGGGACACTGAAGGGACACCGAGGGGATAGCAGAGACACTGAGGGGACAACAGGGACACCAAGGGGACACCAGGGGGCTGGTGCCACCTCGTGTCCCCTCCTGAGGATGCGAGGGTTGCGGGGGGGAGTCCCCAGGGATGTCCCAATGTCCCCAGGATGCCATGGGGATGTCCCCATGTCCCCAGTGCTGTCCCCATGTCCCCAGGACGCCATGCATGCTGTCCCCAAGCAGGCCTGTCCCCATGTCCCCAATGTCCCCATGTCCCCAGGACGCCATGCATGCTGTCCCCAAGCAGGCCTGTCCCCATGTCCCCAATGTCCCCATGTCCCCAGGACGCCATGCATGCTGTCCCCAAGCAGGCCTGTCCCCATGTCCCCAATGTCCCCATGTCCCCAGGACGCCATGCATGCTGTCCCCAAGCAGGCCTGTCCCCATGTCCCCAATGTCCCCATGTCCCCAGGACGCCATGCGTGCTGTCACCAAGCAGGCCTGTCCCCATGTCCCCATGTCCCCAGTGCTGTCCCCATGTCCCCAATGCTGTCCCCATGTCCCCAGTGCTGTCCCCATGTCCCCATGTCCCCAGTGCTGTCCCCATGTCCCCAATGTCCCCATGTCCCCAGGACGCCATGCGTGCTGTCACCAAGCAGGCCTGTCCCCATGTCCCCATGTCCCCAGTGCTGTCCCCATGTCCCCAATGTCCCCATGTCCCCAGGACGCCATGCGTGCTGTCACCAAGCAGGCCGTGCGCGAGGCGCGGCTGCGGGAGCTGCGCCAGGAGCTGCTCAACTGCGAGAAGCTCAAGGTGAGACCCCAAAACTGGGCTGAAAACCCCAAAATCTGCACCAAAACCCCCCAAAATTGGGATAAAAAGCTCCTAAATGGGGATAAAAACCCCAAAAATGGGGATGAAATCTTTTAAAAATGGGATAAAAACCCAAAATGGGGCAAAGAAAAAACCCAAAATGGGGATAAAAAACCCCCCAAATTGGGATAGAATCCTTAAAAAATGGGGAAAAAAAAACCCAAAATGGGTCAAAAACCCCAGAATGGGATAAAAACCCCAAAATTGGGATAAAAACCCCAAATCCTTTTGGGTTTCCTCCCCACCCCCTCCGTTTTAACCCCTTTTTTGCCATTTTAACCTCACCCAGTTGGGTCCTGGGGAGGAATTTCCCGTGCCCAGTTAATGATGGCGGGTTCATTAGTGATTGGTGAATGATCAGGGGTTAATTAGGGGCTCGTTAATGGCTTTCAGGTGTATTTTGAGGACAATCCCCGGGACCTGCAGGCGCTGAGGCACGACCGGCCCCTGCACCCGGCCAGCGTGCAGCCACACCTGGGCCACGTGCCCGACTACCTGGGTACCAAAATGGGGGGAAATATGGAAATTTTGGGGAAAAATGGGGGGAAAGATGGAAATTTTGGGGAAAAAATGGGGAAAAAATTGAAATTCTGGGGGGAAAAATGGGGTAAAAACTGGGGAAATTGGAGTGGGGTCAGCCCCACCTGGGCCACGTGCCCGAGTACCTGGGTACCCAAAATGGGGGGAAAATGGAAATTTTGGGGGAAAAAGGGAAGTTTTGGGGGAAAAAAGTGAAATTTTGGGGGAAAAAAGTGAAATTTTGGGAAAAAATGGACTGAAGGGACAGGAAATGGGAGTGGGAAATGGGAGTGGGGTCAGCCCCACCTGGGCTACGTGCCTGAGTACAAAACAGGGGGAAAAGGGGGAAATTGGGGAAAAATGGGGGAAAAAATGGAAATTTTGGGGGAAAAAATGGGTTAAAAATGGGTAAAATGGATAAAAATAGGGAAATGGGGAAGTGGGAGCAGCCCCAGCCCCACCTGGGCCACGTGCCCGAGTACCTGGGCACCAAAAAATGGGGGAAAAAAGGGGGAAATTGGGGAAGAATTGAAATTTGGGGGAAATAAAAGGGAAAAAATGGGGAAAATTGGGGTCTGGGGGTGGTTTTGGGGTGGTCAGTGGGGTGCATTTGGCCCGGGGTGGGTTTGGGGTGCACTGACCCCCTTTGTGCCCCCCCAGTGCCCCCCAGTCTCCGCGGCATCGCCGACCCCAACCCCAAAAAGAGGAAATGTCCCCGAGGGGCCGGGGCCCGGCGCGGGGGGAGCAAGGTGAGGGACCCCAAATCCCCCCAAAATCCCCCCTGAACCCCAAATCCCCCAATTCCACCCCCAAAATCCCTGCTGAACCACCAAATCCCTCCCAAAATCCCTGCTGAACCCCAAAATCCACCCAAATCCCCCTGAACCCCAAAATCCCCAAATTCTAACCCCAACATCCCTGCTGAACCCCAAAATCCACCCAAATCCCCGCTGAACCCCGGGGGCACCCCCTGAGCCACCTGGGGGCACCTGGGCACCCCATCACCCCCTGGGGACCCACCTGTGTCATGCTGTGCCACCCTGGGGCCATCCCGTGCCCACCCGGGGGTTGGTGACAATAAAGGTGCCAAGGAGCCTCTCCGGTGTCCCTTGGTGTCCCTTGGTGGCTGCGTGACGGGGCCGGGCCGGGCACGGTGCCAGGCAGGGCCGGGGACAGGCGGGTGACGCTGGCGTGGGCAAAGGTGCCAGGGCGGTGCCAGGGCAGTGTCCCCCGTTATCTGTGCCCCGTTATCTGTCCCCCCCTTATCTGTCTCCCCCTTTTTGTCCCCAAGGCCACCAGGGCCATAAAGAGCGGCACAAGGGCACACACGGGTGGCACAGATGGCATCAGGGGTGGCATCCCTGGGGACACTGCGGGGGTGGCACCGATGGCATCGGGGGTGGCACCCCTGGGGACACTGCGGGGGTGGCACCCCTGGGGACACTGCGGGGACTCAGTGCGAGCTCGGGGGTGGCACCAGGACCCGGGGGGTGGCAGGGGTGGCACTGCCCCACCCTGGTGACATCGGGGACAGGTGTGGCACCGAGCGGGGTCCAAGGCCCTGAACCCGACGGGGACAGGGGGCACTGGGATGGCACTGTCACACGGGGATGGCACCGGGTGGTACTGTCACACGGGGATGGCACCAGGATGGCACTGGTTCCACCAGGATGGCACTGGCACACAAGGGTTGGCGCCAGGGTGGCAGTGGCACCGCTGGGATGTCACTGGGACAGAGGGCACAGGGGTGGCCCTGGCACACGAGGATGGCACCAGGCTGGCTCTGTCACCACCGGGATGGCACCAGGGTGGCCCTGGCACAGCCCTGCCCACGGCGTGGGGGACACCAGGGCGCCACCCCCGGGATGTGGCACTGGCGCTGTCACAGGTGCCTGCGGGTGACGTCCCGCTGCCACCCTGTGCCACCTCCCGCTCCCAAATTCCTGCGTTTGTCCCCAAATCGGTGCCCGTGGGTGTCCCCTGATGCCACCCTGAACTCCCAAATCCCCGTTTTGTCCCCATTTCGGTGATGCCTGCTGCCACACGGGTGGCAGTGCCACCCCATGCCCCGCTCGGTGCCACCCCGCCCTGGCGGCTCCGGGGCCGCTGGGCCCCGCCCCGATCGATCGATGATCGGGTTAATGATCGATCCGGCCTCGGGCTGATTGGCCCCGCTGCCATCAGGCCAGCGGTGCCCTCCCCAGCTGGCACCGGGGGGCGGGGGGGCTTTAAAGGCGCGGGTGGCACTCGGGGACAGCCCTGTCAGCATGGCCGCCTCCCTGGCACTGCCCGGCGCGCTCCTGGCCGCGCTCCTGGCGCTGGTAGGGGACAGGGGACGCCGCGGGTGGCACCGGGAGGGACGCGGGGCGGGGCACCGGTGCGGTGACAGTCGGGTGGCATTTGGGGGCTGAGGGTGGCAGAGCCGGGGGGACACCGGTGCCGTGCCCACCTGGTGACATTTGGGTGGCACTCGGAACGTTTGGGCTGGGCAGAGCCGAGGGGCACCGGTGTGGTGGCCACTTGGTGACATTTAGGTGGCACTTGGAAGGTCTGGGAGTGGCAGAACCAGGGGACACCCTCGTGGTGCCCACTTGGTGCCATTCGGGTGACACTTGGAGGAACTGGCGGTGGCGGAATGTGGGGACAATGTCGTGGTGCCCACCGGGTGCCATTTGGAGGAAGCGAAGGTGCCAGAGCTGTGGCGACCCCTCCGCGGTGCCCACCGGGTCCCCCTCGCCCCTCAAGGTGCCACCACCGTGCCCCCGTCCCCGTCCCCGCAGGCGTCGCCGTCGCTGACCCCCGTGCGCCAGGCCGGCGTCTGCGCCTTCTACGGCGAGTGCGGGCGCAACCCCGAGGTCAACGTGTCGCTGGTGCCCTCCAAGGTGCCCTGCCTGTCCAACACGCCGGCGCGGGTGGCGCAGGGCGCGCTGCTGTCCCTGCTGCGCTCCGTGTGCCCCGAGCTGGCGCGGGGGGACAACGAGACCACGCGGGTGTGCTGCAGCTACGGGCAGCTGAGCGCGCTGCGCGTCAGCGTGGGGCTGTCGGGCGCCGTGCTGGCGCGGTGCCCGGCCTGCGCCCGCAACTTCGCCAACCTCTACTGCCACAACATCTGCAGCCCCGACCAGAGCCTCTTCACCAACGTCACCCGCGTGGCCAACTACACGGCGGTGCCCGGCGCCCGGGCCGTGCTGGAGTACCAGCTCTTCTACAGCCGCCGCTACGCCGAGGCCGCCTTCGCCTCGTGCCAGGGCGTGCGGCTGCCGGCCACGGGCGGCTACGCCATCTCCACCATGTGCGGGCGCTACGGCGCCCAGCTGTGCACGGCCCAGCGCTGGCTGGACTACCAGGGCAACAAGAACAACGGGCTGGCGCCGCTGCAGATCAACTTCCAGCTGCTGCCCAACGGCTCCGAGCCCGGCCAGGGCATCGTCCCGCTGGACGCGCCCGCCTGGGGCTGCGACCAAGCGCCCGGCGCCGACCAGGAGCCGTGCTCGTGCCAGGACTGCGCCCAGGCCTGCCCGCCCGTGGTGCCGCCCGCCGACCCGCCGCCGCCCTTCCGCATCGGCCGCGCCGACGGCGTGCTGGTCATCTGCGTGCTGCTCTTCGCCGCGCTCGCCCTGGCCTTCCTGGTGGCCGTGCTGTGCCAAAGGGGCGCGGCCGAGGTGGCGCTGAAGCCGCGTGCCCGCGGGTGCCCGCAGCGGGCGAGCGAGGCCTGGCAGCGCGGCCTGGAGCGGGCGTTCCGCCGCTGGGGCACGGCGGTGGCCACGCGGCCGGTGGCCGTGCTGGCGGTGGCCGTGGTGGTGGCCGGAGGGCTCTCGGCCGGGCTGGTGACCCTGCAGCTGACCACGGACCCCGTGGAGCTGTGGTCGGCGCCGGGCAGCCGTGCCAGGCAGGAGAAGGAGTTCCACGACCGCCACTTCGGGCCCTTCCTGCGCACCAACCAGGTGATCGTGACGGCGCCGGGGCGCCCCGGCACCACCTACGACTCGGTGGTGCTGGGCACCAAGAACTTCAGCGGGGTGCTGGCCCAGGACGTGCTGCTGGCGCTGCTGGAGCTGCAGGAGACGCTGGCGGGCACCACGGCGTGGGCACCGGGCGCGGGCAGGAACGTCAGCCTGCAGGACGTGTGCTACGCCCCCCTGAACCCCGCGGCGCCCGGCGTGGGCGACTGCGCCGTCAACAGTGTCACGCAGTACTTCCAGAACAACCGCAGCCGCCTGGCACTCAGCGCCTGGCAGCAGGACAGCAAGGAGCAGGGCACCGTGGACTGGCACGACCACCTCATGTACTGCGTCAAGTGGGTGCCACGGGCACCGTGGGGTGCCCGGCTGTGGGGCTGGGGTGACATCTGTGTGGCACAGTGCCCATGGGGTGCCCGGCTGTGGGGCTGGGGTGACATCTGTGTGGCACAGTGCCCATGGGGTGCCCAGCTGTGGGGCTGGGGTGACATCTGTGTGGCACAGTGCCCATGGGGTGCCCAGCTGTAGGGCTGGGGTGATGCCCACGGGGCTCTGTCCATGATTTGGTGCCCAATTGTGGGGCTGGGGTGACATCTGTGGGTGCTGGACATGGCACGGTGCCTGTGGGGTGCCCAGCTGCGGGGTTGGGGCGATGCCCACGTGGGTTCAGGGTGCCACCCGTGTGTCCCCATCACTGCGGGGCGCCAGGCCGTGTGTCTGGGCTGTCACCCGTGTGTCCCCATCACTGCTGGGCGCCAGGCCGTGTGTCTGGGCTGTCACCCGTGTGTCCCCATCACTGCTGGGCGCCAGGCCGTGTGTCTGGGCTGTCACCCACGTGTCCCCATCACTGCTGGGCGCCAGGCCGTGTGTCTGGGCTGTCACCCACGTGTCCCCATCACTGTGGGCGCCAGGCCGTGTGTCTGGGCTGTCACCCGTGTGTCCCCATCACTGTGGGGCGCCAGGCCGTGTCTCTGTGGTGCCACCCACGCGTCCCCCACGGCACCCTTGGGTGGCAGCGGGCGCAGGGCGGGGCCGGGCGGGCACAGCCCCCGCTGACGGCCCGGCCCTGTCCCCACCAGCTCCCCGCTCTCCTTCAAGGACATCACGGCGCTGGAGCTGAGCTGCATGGCCGAGTACGGCGCGCCCGTGTTCCCCTACATCGCCCTGGGCGGCTACCGCGGTACGGGGGGGGCCGGCTGCTCGGGGGGTCCCCCGAGGTGTCCCCGCAGAGTCGGAGTGACCGCCGTGTCCCCGCAGAGTCGGAGTACACGGAGGCCGAGGCGCTGATTGTCACCTACTCGCTGAACAACTTCCCCGCGGGGGACCCGCGCCTCGAGTGGGCGCTGAGCTGGGAGCGGCAATTCCTGCGCGTGGTGCGCGACTTCCAGCGCCGCCACGGCCGCGACCTCTCGGTCACCTTCATGGCTGAGGTGCGGCCGCGTCCCCTCCGTGTCCCCCGTGTCCCCCCCGTGTCCCCCGTGTCCCTGTGACCCCCATGTACCCGATGTCACCTGTGTCACTGTGTCCGTATTGGCCTCAGTGAACCCCGTGTCCCCTCCATGCCACTGGTGCCCCCCGTGTCCCTGTGCCCCTTCCATGTCCCCAGTGTCCCCGTGCCCCCGGTGCCCCCCACATCCCTGTCCCCCCTCCCTGTCCCCGTGCCCGCGGTGCCCCCCCAGCTGTCGCTGTCCCCTCAGCGCTCTCTGGAGGACGAGATCAACCGCACGAGCGGGGAGGACCTGCCGGTGTTCGCCACCAGCTACCTGCTGGTGTTCGCCTACATCGCGCTGGCCCTGGGCGAGTACACGGCCTGGCGGAGGGTC